ATTAAGCTGCTTAAACATTATACTTTTAAGCTGCCTGAGTAAATTATAACTTTCCTGCTTATTGGTGCCTAAAAGTTTCATGAGGAATGTGGATCCATAGTTCCAATTAATTCATGTGCTTCCAACTCAAAACTTGCTTTGTAATTTTGTTGTATCCTGTCATTATACATTCTACTGAAAAAGAGAGTTGAGATCAAACATGAGTTGATCTAAAATATGTAAACGTGTAGGGTTGTAGTTCATGATTGTAATCAATGAGGGGCAAATATATATTTTGAAGTGCATAAATTGGAAGCTTTTATGCGCTAGTTTAAATACATCATTAAATTGCGTCTGGTGAGAAACTTCGGAATCCTTTTTCTTTGTATCAAATACACTATAGTGTTGGCTTGGTTCAGATTATCAATAAAGCAGGATTTTTAGAGGAATCTTGATTTACTATGCTCAAGCATAATGCTGGTTGCATGTTGTCATGTTCCATACAGCTTCTCCAGTGAGCAGCAGTAGCTATACTAACTATTATTTTGGGCCTAAATCCAGCTTTGCCCCCCCCCCTTCCCACTTTTGCTTGATACTGCTATTCTTCCTGGAAAAGTCCAGCTTTGGATCCTTTCCTTGGATGTTTGTTTCCTTGTTTATTTGGGTTCAGGCCGTGCAAACCAGTAATTTATCTCTCCCCAAACAGGCCAGAGTTATAATCCATTCTTGTTTTTTTGTTTATTACTTTGCCTTGTGTGATGACAAGCAAACTAGAGTTCCTGGTTCAATATGTCATAATAAATAGAGCCTAGACAGAAGGTCAGAGCTTGGATTAATCCAGAGGTGGCCAAGAGGTAGCCCTCAAAATACTGTAACTGCCACGTTTGTCTTATCCTTGAGTTTGCTGGCTAGGGTTATTGGGAAAAGCAATTCCAGCAATATCTGGAGGGCCACCATGTCGACTTGTAATTTAACTGGTCCCACTTACAGGGGAAGCCAAACAAAGTAATCGGGTTGTATGCTTTTGCCAGCTGTTCCTTTCAGATAAGCCAGAATTATTTCCTTGAAACATACATCACTTTTATATACATATGTAGCATTATGTTAAAACTGTATGTAATGAAAAAGAAATTCTGTTAATGCAAGCACAGATTTCTGCATAGAACGTAAGTTTCTTTTCCAGAGAAGCAACACATTTGGAGCCAGTGTCAGCATCCAGATGAATCTGAGTAGTTTAAGTAATCCACAACTGGACAAGTAGTTTGTAGTGTGCACAGTTTAAAATCCCTTTTCCATTATTCATGTCCTTGCCAATCACCCTGCTGGGTGGGGATAATGGAAATTGGAGCCAGGCACATTTGGAGACCTCGGGGAGGGCCGCAGAACTGAAGCTGATTTAAGAAGCCAAGTGGTGCTACACAGGCATTCTGGAAGTCACTTTAACGCATGAAACAACAAAAGAAAGTCAGAGAAGCCTGTTGACTGGAAGTTGGTGGAAAAAAAAACTTGATTTTACTTGGAAAGGATTTTCATTCTGAATTTTCTTGTGCATTCCAGAATAGCTAATGTCTCTATTATATTTAGTAACAGGACACATATATCTAATGAGATATTTATTATGGCAGCAGTCAGCTATAACAATACAATACTGTTCATATTTACTTGGACACTAGTGCTTCTGTATTCGGTGCAAGTTAATCTTGTGCAGGTGTGGGAATACCCTGAATGACCTTATACCTTGGCCCCATCTGCTTGGGCCCAGCTCAGCCAAGCATCTGGCAGTGCCCAAGAGAAGAGTATTTTATCCTTTTAATGGGGCCCTAGCATATTTTCTGAATTCTAAGGTTAAAGTTTGTACCAGATAATTTAGTATTAGATTGTATGGTTTTGTTTCCAGTTATGCACACAAAAGTGATTTTAGTAAAGAACATTATCAGTCCAATGTTTAGAAAGTCAAGACTCAAGAGTTTTCAAATTTACAAGTTTTAATAAAACTGTCATTTCAAATTATGAATAACTGACTTGTTCTTGAAGTACAGGTATTATTATTTGAAGTATTATTATTTCATTTTGTGACCTTATTCAAATTTATGTGTATATCACTCCTGATTATATTATTGCTTTCCAATGACTTAAAACAATTGTTTACTTATCTTAAATAACATAAAAGCTGTCAAGATCATGTCCAGCCTTTGTCTTTCTAAGATAAAGGCTGCAAAGGGAGCTTACTTTGCTCTCTGGATAAGCAAAACTTCCAACCAGCAGGTGGAGTTATTCTGAATTGGTCACAGTGATTGGCTCCCCCTAGTATTTCACTTGACCAATTTGCAGCCTTTTAAAAATCTAAAGTGGAGGCCATCCACTGGAACCTATCCCCCTATTTGAAGCCAGTAGATTGATCAGAGACATCCAGTGTTCTGTCCTGTCCGATGAAGATCACTCACTTTCAGCCAGTGACGTCACTTGAGATTGACAAAGTACTTGACCACTGTTGTGCTACCACCTCTTCCCTTGCCTGGCCTGACTAATCAAAGCGGCCAAGTCCGTAACAACTTAATGGGCCATTGCTATAATAAATGGGTCTTTCCAGGAGGGCAAGGTTTCCCTTGCCCTCAAGAAGACACTCATTAGGCCCATTAGGAAGAAACCAAACTTGGCAGCGGACGGCATTGGCAATTATAGGCCCGTCGCCAATGTTTCTTCCTTAGCAAGGTAGTAGAAAAGGTGGTTGCCGATTAGCTTCAGGCTCTCTTGGATGAGACCAGCGCCCTGGATTTGTTCCAGTCAGGCTTCAGACCACGCCATGGCATGGAAGCAGCATTGATCGCCCTGCTTGATGACCTTTAGAGGGAGGCTGACAGGGGCAAAATGTCCTTGTTGGTTCTTCTTGATATCTCAGCCACCATTGATACCTTTGACCATGGTATCCTCCTGGGGAGGCTGTCCGAATTGGGGATTGGTGGCCTAGCTTTTGCTTGGCTCCAATCCTTTTTGGAGGACCGTTCCCAGAGAGTCCAGCTTGGAGAGAATGTATTGACCCCATGGCTCCTCAATTGTGGGGTGCCCCAGGGATCAATCATCTCTCCAATGCTGTTTAATATCTATATGAAGCTGCTGGGTGGGATCATCAGGGGATGTGGCACTTCGTGTCACCAGTATGCTGATGACACGCAGCTCTACATTTCCTTTTTTCCAACAGCAGTGCCATTGCATCCCTTAAGTGCTGCCTAGGGGCCGTACAGCAATGGATGCAGGAGAATGGACAGGTTGAACCCGGACAAGACAGAGGTCCTGAGGGTGAGCGCCCCTTCTATCAGTGGTTTGGGAAGCTTGCTCTTTTTTTGGGGGGGGGAATTCTCACCTTGAAGAGTGTGGTCCACAGTTTGGGGGTCCATCTTGACCCAGCGCTTACCATGGAGTCACAGGTGGTCCGCATCTGTGGCCTGCTCCGCCTACTTACATCTTCGGCATGTTGCCCATCTGCGCTCCTGTTTGATGTCAGGTCACTCCCCACTCTGGTCCATGTGCTCATAGTCTCGAGATTAGACTACTGCAATGCTCTATATGTGGAACTGCCTTTGAGACTCATGCGGAAGCTACAAATGGTCCAGAACACGGCCACCAAATTATTAACTGGGGTTAAAAGACATCAACATATCCCCCCCCCCGTAACCTATTCGTTTTTGCATTGATTTCAAAGTACTAATGCTTACATATAAAGCCCTAAATGGTTTAGGGCCTCGATACCTGGCAGAGAGACTGTCCCCACCTAGCTCTATTCGTGTCACTTGATCAAGCCAGACCAGAAGGTTGAGGGTCTTAACCCTGAGAGAGGCCAAGAAGTAGAGAGAAGAAACTGGGCATTCCCGATGGTGGCCCCACATCTTACCTTACCCCTGGAGATTCAACTGGCACCCTCACTGGGAATTTTTAAAAGCAAGTTGAAGACTTGGTTCTTCCAGCAGGCCTTCCCCTCTCCCATTATATAGCATCTTTATCCCATCTTGGATCCTGTTTTCTTTATTGATTTTTCTGCTCTTATCATCAAAGTTATTTTAATGCTGTTTTTATCTTTAGTTTGTAAGCTGTCCAGAGTAGATTCCCGGATCTATATGGGCAGGGTAAAATTGAATGTATGAATGAATAATCTGGAAGTTGATTTATGGCAACAGGACTTCTTATTGGGTTGAAATGTTTCACTACTTTTCAGTCTGAGGAGAGTTCATAGGAAACATTGGGGACGGGCCTATCTTCCAGGTTGGTTTTACTTCCCCCTGGTCTGAATAGACTCTTTGCAGTACTTCTCTACCCATTGTCATGGTTTGTTAACAGTGGTCTTTCTGGTGTGTGTGGTCCTGATCTTTCTGGGGACAGATGAAAGGGCAGCATGATAAATAGAAAACAGATTGATGCTAAGGCCTCCACCCCTGTTGAGTGAGTGATTTTCTATATGCAAATGTATGGCCTCCCTGACCCCTCTCTCAAAACACCTATCTTCTTGGTCCAAAATGAGTACATCTTGGTCATCAAATGAGTGTCCTTTGTCCTTCAGATGAAGGAACACTGTACACATTGTAATCCTGACCCATTGTCCCTCCTGTGCTGGGCCATTTTCCTGTTTAGTGGTTGCTTGGTTTCTCCAACGTAGAGCTCTGAACACTTCTTTGCATTGGATTGCATATACTCTATTGTGTTTTGGTGTCCGGTCTTTGGGGTGGACAAGTCTCTGCTTTAGTGTGTTTGTGGGTTTGAAGTGCATAGGCATGTGGTGTTTACCAAAAATTATTTTGAGCTTTTCAGACCAACCTGGTGAAACCAGCTTGAGGATATATTACGGGCCTCCTTCCAACTCTCCTCAGACTGAAGAAGCTACTTGAATGAATAGTGAAATGTTTCATCCCAATAAGGAAGAGGTCCAGTTGCCATGACTCAGCTTCCAGATAACCTCACCTGGATGACTGAAGATCTTCACAGATAGATTGTGTACTTACTTTTCCATTCCATTATCCTTTCTGTTCTAGGTCAGAGAGTTCGGGGGCGAGATACAAGGAATCGGTGGCAAAGGATTTGCAGCACTTACCTTTGACGGCACTGTAGGGGCGCCGGTGGTTCCTCGAACAACTAGCAAATTATTCACTTTTACAGATGAAGACAGGAGAATAGTAGAAAACTTGCGCATTTGGGTGGCAAGGAATCCTTCTAACTCTAAGCCAGCAGCAAAATTGTCTGACATCCAGCCACCAATGTTTTTTGAACTAACTTGCCAGCTGGTAGGAAAAGCAAAAGTGGATGGATCTTCCTATCTTCTGAAGGTTTGCTGCTTCTTTTCTCCCAATAATATAATTCAAGAGCTGTTGCGCATTCTCTCTGAGACTGGATGTCATCTTTAATCTGTCATACATTTCTTTCTCATTTCAGCAGTATTGCCAAAAACAAAGTAATGTTACCTTGTGTTGCTAGAGGTATTGTACGTACTTCAGTTATGAGATTCAGAGTTTGCAGCTTTATCGAGAAACATTTGTACAGTGGTGCCTCGCTTAACGAGCGCACCGTAGAATGACGAATCTGCATAGCGAGGGGGTTTTAGTGATCGCAAATGCGATCGCATACCGATGGCTCCTATGGCCAAAAATCGCTTTGCGATGGTCGGTAAGCGGTTCGCTTACCGACCTTTGCTTTGCGCCCCGCGGATCAGCTGTTCGGCGGCTCCAAAATGGCCGCCGGAAGCCCCAAAATGGCCACGTGCAGCGTTTTCGCGCCCTCGGTAAGCGAGGGGAGGGCGCAAAAATGGTTGCTGGCCATAGGAAAACATCGCTGAACGGTGAGTTTTCGGCCCATTTGGAACGCATTAAACATTGTTTTCTTGATCCGTTCAGCGATGTTTTCACATAGCGAGGGTTAATCCGGAACGGATTAACCTCGCTATGCGAGGCACCACTGTATATATGCAGATATTGACTATTTTACTTTCACAACTTAAATTAGAGATAAGTAGAGCCCCCACCCAAGCACCCAGTCTGCTTTGTGTCCTCTGAATAAAGGCATACAGATCAAGCCCCTGTTCCATTTTAGTAACATGCCAGTGGGCTCGCTGTCCTAGTCCATGATGGTGTTTGCATATTTCCAGTTCTCACTAAAAGCTCCAGTCCTGGTAATGGCAAGCACAGGTCAAAGATGGGATTGTGCAGGAATAACCGGAGAATATCAACCACACTGTACAAAGCTGGGCGCTCTGTTATTCTCTTTCCCCATCCTCCTTTTTTGAGCCACTGCGAGAAAGCTCCAGTCAGTTTCCTGAGGCAGCTACCAGGAACATAACAAATAAGGGACTTCAAAAAGGCATGGAAACAACAGTCTTTGGTTTTGTTTTGTTTTTTCTTAAAAGGGCAATGAGGGGAGCCTGAGCTTCTACACTTTCTGTTCTTTCTCTCTGTTCACCCACTGTTCCTAACATTGCATCTGAAATTGTGGTTCTGTAGCCACAGTGATTTGATTGGATCAATGATTTTGTAGTAGGGAAGGCAAAAAAATCTTCACTTCTAAAGTAAAGAGCATTCTCAGTTTTGTCATCCTTTTTTTTCTTTCCCCCCTCCACTCCTAATTGTGGTGCGTGAATTCCAGATTTTATATAAGGGCGCCATGGGGGTGTTGCTCCACCTCATAGGTGATGGGCAGCTCTTTGCTCTCTCCCATGGTCACCTAGGAAATGCACAAATATACATAATTCATAATACATTAAAATATAATGGTCTTTAAGGTATCATATCATTTTGTCTTGTTTTGTTTTGTTTCTTTGAATTTGCCTGATTTGCCTAATTCAGGTTGCATTACTATATTTGTCTAAAGACAGTACAGATTTCCAGTGTGGTGTAGTGGATAGTGACAGACTAGGACTCCGGAGAGCAAGATTTAAATTCCCACTCATCCATGTAAACTCACTGGGCGATTGGAACTCGTAAAACCATACCTTAAATATCTCACTTACACTGAAAGCCCAAGGAAGTCCAGAAACGTCTGTGAGGCCTCTTTAACAACTGTGGCTCTCATGTTTTTTGTGTAATCATTTACATTTGAGTTATTTCTATACTTATATAGGCATTATAATCCCATTACTGTAAATCATATTCTTACAGTTCTTGATAAGAAACATTGTCATACTTCTTCACTGAAGCAGCAGTGAAGTTGGTCTTGTGGTTTGTTTAAACTACATAAAAAGGAATTCTTTTTAAACTTCATCCAGCACCATAATTGTTGCTTTAATTAAAAAGCAAGCTCAACTCATGTGAATGAATCGGTGTACAGTGAACAGTTTTATGTTTCCGGGAAATACAGTGGTGCCTCGTATAACGAGCAGTCATGTGAATGAATCGGTGTACAGTGAACGGTTTTATGTTTCCTGGAAATATTTTCTAAAGGATGTTCTAGTCCTCTAGAACAGATTTACAAGGCACATGGGGCCTGCGGGAGAACAGTCTTTCAACCCCTATCTATACAGTAGAAGATGTTGATGCAGTTTAGATATTTTGAGAGCTACTCAGATTATGTCAGATTATTTATTATTAAGCAATCAATTATTTTTTTAAAAAGCCAAGATCAAATGGTGCAAATCTGTTTCCAACACCAGTGGATTGTTCTCTCATTGTAGCTCTCTGCACATGCACCAAGGTTATCTCAGCCACATTCTTAAGGTGTATGTATGGTGCTGCAAGAGGAAGGAGGTAAAGCTTACTTTATGGATAGTAGCCACATACCTTCGAAGCATATACAGTAGTTGAGCCCTAGCCTTAGCTTTTGCAGCTTTTACAAATTGGATACAATTTAATTTTCTTTTCTGAAATATCAAATTTTTGTAATCTTTTGCTTATTTTTTTGTGTATCCTGCCACAAATGGTTTTCAGTTTCCTGTTTCTCTAATTTGAAAGATTCGCCAGAGTTATGCAGAATTGCCAGCATTCCCTCATGATGGCTGACAGCCTTGAAAATGTGGGCAACAAAATGTCAGTTCAAGTGTTTTTACTAAAGCATGGGCAAAAAGAGAATAAGTCACTCTGCTGTTAAAACAAAAAGCTTTAGTATGTAATGTGTCAAAGCATAGTACATACTGGCTGAAATCCAGTAGTAAATTGCAACTATAATAGGAGCATTGAATCAATGAGGATTTTGTGAGTCGACTCTTCTGTGAGTTCCACTGATTGAGTGGACCAAGTTACAATTTACTACTGATTTCAACTCCTGTGTTGTTGATAGAGAAAATGTTTAAAACACTTGGGGTTTTGTTTTTGTTTTTTATTACTTTGTGCCCCAGGCATTTTCAATTCTAATATACAAATGATTATCTAAAGGTTTATGTAGTAACAGGTAGAAGAACAAAGGAGCAGCTGGCAGGTGTTTGCCATCAGTGGGAATTAGATAAATACTCACAAAAGCAATGAGCAGTCAATAAATAAATCCTAGTATTATCTCAAAGATGGAGAAAACTTTGGAGTGATTAACATTAGGACCAACATCCTGTAGAGCTTTTGCTAAGTGGAAGGTTCTGCCTGCATAGTAATGTGGGATTGCAGTACTTGCAGAAGCGACCATGCTGGATGGGATTTCTCATTTAGTGGAAGCTCGGTATAATACATGCCTTACATTGTTCCTCCCCACCCCCAAGAAACAGAAAGGAAAATGTAATGGGATTAAAAGTTTTTTTAAGGCTCAATCTAGTCATGTCACAGTGTTAGATAGTGCTATCATGCTTTATTTGAACTGGTAAATTGAAATACTGTGCTGCTCAGGTAGAAGATAACCTTTTCCTTTTGAAATGCAGCAAACTAGCCTTATCAGTAAGAAGATGATAATTTTTTAAAAAAATCACGTTACTTAAATAGAAAACCCTGCACATTCTAGTTACTATGTTAGATTCATTTTCAAGGTGAGATCCAAAAGACTCTCACCCTGAGAATTTGCTACCATTTCTGCACTAGGTATTATCTTTGACCTCTCCTTACCCTTCCTAAAAAAACAGCTAGGAGGAAGAACATCTTTGCCATCTGTCCCAAGGAATGTAGAGTGTGTGACTGCTGTGTGGTCATCTGCCACCACCTGCTTTTTCCGTGGGACACTCCTGTCAGTGGAACCACCACCTCAGGATGTTGCAGAACCAGGATATTGCTGCTGCTGTGAGTCAGCCGCTCTGCATCCAGGAACGGCCCTTTGCTCCCCTCCCAGGAACAGATTTTGGAGACAGGAATATACACTGAGCTTCGGGGGGGTGGTGGTTTCCAGCAGGCCGACCACCAAAGGAGTGTCATCCCTTGGGGGAGCGCCAGTGGGGCATCAAAAGAATAAAAGCTACTCCTCCTGCTGTGAAAGTAGGCAAGAAAGTTAATGCCAGATCAGTTGCAGGGAAAACATCAGTCATTAATTTGATTCAGGATGGTGCTGACTTGGTTTGTATCAAGTCAAGCTGGGAGAAGGAGGAAGTCCATCTCGACTCAGTTCTGTCCACCAGGGCACTCTGTGGTAAAGCAGGCTGTGTCTGGAGGGCAGGGAGCTACAGTCTATAACTCAGTCACACTAAGCAGATGTTCTGTCCAGCAGGTGGCCAATGTTGAATGTGTTGCTACAGCCAGGTGATGGGGACATTCTTGGGATTATGTTGGTATTGCATCCACTGCCCAACAATCTCCCTCATTGAGCTAACTGGGGTGATCCTGCATATGGCATTGGACTGCCTCAGGCTTATTGTTCTGGAGAGCTTCAACATTCATGCTGAGATTCCTCGGTCAGGATTAGCTTAGGGTTTCATGTCTGCCATGAGAACCATGGACTTATCCCAGTTTGTAGATGGCCCCATGTGTGTGACAGGGCATACTTTGGATCTAGTACAGTGGTTCCTCAACTTACGAACTTAATCTGTTCCAGAAGATGGTCATAAATTGAAATGGTCGTAATTTGAAGCTGCATTTCTCATTGAAATGCACTGAAACCTGATTAATCAATTCTGGCTGTTTTTGGTTGTATCTCGAAGCACTGGTTGCAACTCAAAGCTTTTATTCCCACTAGGGGGAGAATTTTTCTTCTTTTAACCCAGTGGCTCTCAAACTTGGGTCCCCAGATGTTCTTGGACTGCAACTCCCAGAAATCCTGGCCTGCACAGCAAATGGTGAGAGCTTCTGGGAGTTGCAATCCAAGAACATCTGAACACCCCAGTTTGAGAACTATTGTTTTAACCTAAGATGACTTAGGTTAAAAAAGGGCAGGAAAGAAGGGAGGAAAGGAAGGAACAGTGGAGAAAAGAGGAAAGAAAGAAGGTCATCACTGGGATACACAGACCCCTCAGACAAAGGTTTGTGCTGTTAAGCACAAAAAGAGAGAAGAGAGAGAGAAGACAATTGGGGGGGGGGATTGAGTCAGAACCATATTTTACACCATGCTAGCAACCAGAGCCCTTCAGAGAAAGGTTTCTGATTTTAAAAGAAAAGACTTTGGGTTCACATTTTAAAACAAAAGAGAGGTCACAGTACACAAACCTTAGGAGACAAAGAATGCAAAAATCAATCAATCAATCAATCAATCAATCAATCAATCCAGCAACCATTATTCCAGCAAACAGATCTCTCAGGCTAATTTTACATTTTAAAATTACAGTTTAATTTTCACGTTTAATTTTAATTTAATATTACAGTCTAATTTTCATATTTTAAACCCACACTGCAAGACCCATCAGATTACAGAAACATAACCTCCCCACCTAGCCCAAACCCACGCTGCAAAAACCCTGTACAGTAAATACAGTTTACATACCCAGAACAGGCAGTCTCTCTGTTTTAAAAAAGAAAGTAAAAAATCCAATAAAATAAAATAAAATAAAAAGCAAAACAAAAAAAAACCCCCACCAAAACAGTACAGTACCAGGCAGTCCGAAGTCTCTCTCCGTACCCATACTCTCTAACCGCTGGGGCAGACGAGGTACAGAGAAGCAGCCTCTTTGCTGCTCATACTCTCTAACCACTGGGGCAGACGAGGTACAGAGAGGCAGCCTCTTCGCTGACCAACAGTTAACTGAAAGCAGTTCAAATTTCCCTCCTTCCCCGTGGTTTTTGTTGTTGTTGTTGTTGTTGTTGTTGTTGTTGTTGTTGTAAGTCGAAGCTCCGGTCACAAGTTGAAGCAAAATTTTGCGACCGGAGCTGTTTGTAACTCGAAATGGTCATAATTCAGGACATTCGTAAGTCGAGGCACCATTGTATTTTTATCTGGTAGAAATAGTGATCTGAAAGTGGAGGGATTTCACGTGACGCTATTGTCATGGACAGATCACCATTGCTTAATTTTAGACTGGCAGCTGGTGTGAACTTCTGTAGGGGTGGTGGACCAATTAAGATAGTGCAGCCCAGGTACCTGATGGATCTTAATGGTTTCCTTAATGCACTTAAGAACCTTTCTGCCTCATTTGTCACTTTTATTTCTGAGGCTCTGGTTGATTGGTGGAATATGAAAATAGCTAGGGCAATTAACATTATTGGTCATAGGTCTCCCCACCTATAGAGCGGGGTCAGCTCCCTGGTTCAACAGAGAGCTGAGAGCATTGAAACAGAAGCAGCAGACACTAGAACTTCATTGGAGGACAACGGGATGAATCAGATCTTGAGCTTGCTACAGTCTATCTGAAAAGGTACATAGCAGAAACAAAGGCTCATCAGAAGGCTTATACAGTATCTATGTTATTACAGCAGCTGTGCGTAGCAGACCAGAGATGCTTTTCCATACTGTATAAGGCCTCCTTCACCAAGGCACTGCAAAGGGAGTTCCATAGCTATCAATTGCTTTCTGTGACCAGTTTGCTTTGTGTCTTGCAGACAAAGTTTGTCAGATTTGCCTTGATTCGGATTCTGATATTGGTGCATTTCCTGTTGATGTAACTTCGACAACTGTATGTCTGTTTAGCCAGGATTCTTTTCAGCTTGTAGATCTCAAGAATGTGGACAGAGTACTTGGAATGGTGCAGGCTACCACCTGGTCACTCAACCCTTGCCCCTCCTGGCTAATTAAATCGGTCAAGGTGAATCTATGGTTAAGGGAGGAAAGGAATTCTTCATTGAAGGAAGTTTATGTCCCTGTTGTAAAGTAACTTACAAGTTTTGATTACCTATAGACCAGAGTCAAATTTACCAATTTTGTCTGAGAGTGGCCCTGCAACTCCAGGCACTCTTTGATGATGCTGATTATCTGGACCCATTTCAGTTGGGCTTTTGACTGGGATATGAGATGGAGATTCCTATGGTTGCCTTGGTAAGATGATCTACACCACGGATGGATAAGGGGACTGCAAGCTTAATAGTTCTCCTGGACCTTTCAGCCACATTTAGTACCATTGACCATGGAATCTTATTGTAGTGGTTCCCAACCTAGGTGTTCATGGACTACAGCTCCCCCAAAAACTGGTCAACACAGTTAGCGGTGAAGGCTTGTAGGAGCTGCAGTCCAAAAATACCTAGGTTATTCAAGGCTGGAAATCACTATTTTACTGCTTGACTAGGTTGGGTGTTGGGGCACAGTATTACAGTTGTTTTGATCCATCCTGTCACGCCTTACACAAAAAGTGGTGTTGCCCTTCCGTGTTCTCAAGGTTCCATTTTGTTTAAAATCTATATGAAGCTGTTAGGATAAGTCATTTGGAATTTAGGAGTGAGGTGCCACTAAAATGCTGATGATACTCAGCTCTACTGCTCCTTGTCTCCCAACATTAACAGAGTTATTAGGACCCTTGAATCTTGCCTTCGCTTGATAACGGGCTGGATGAGGGTGAACAAGCTGAAACTAAATCCTGACAAGATGGAAGTCCTTCTGATCAGTAGAAAGTCAGATTTGGGAATTGGAATTCAACCAGATTCAGGAACTAGGATTCAACCTGGGATTCAATTCTTGACTTGTCATTGTGGGAAAAAGTAAACTTGCTAGTAGCCATGAGAAACTAGTCTTGCAGAAAATTTAAGACCCACCAATTTTAATAGTATGTAATAAAAACTAGTTAGTCTTAGACTAATAGTATATAATAAAAATGAGTGTTGCGGCCACCCAGTGTCCTTTGTTTATTTTCCCTAAACACAAGTCCACCCTCTGGATGCGTTTCCTCACTTCACACTGCCACCATGTATTATTCCTGCAATACCAAATAGATAGATCTTAGACACATGTTGCCAATACAACAGATTTATTTATATTATAGTTGTTATGCAAATCACAGGAGTAAATCACAGATGTTTAGGCTTATTCATTAAATTAGATTTGCTTTAACATTGGTTTGTATGTGTATTTATTCACTGTTATAATATTCTTTGACTATCTATATATACTCTATACTTTTAAACTCTTTCCTATTCTCTCTAGCATTCTCTCTTAACTTTCTCAATTCAATCCCCTAACTCTGTCTCCTGAATTCCCTATATCCATCCTCTTTTCTCCAACTCACCTCTCTAGCTGTCTAACTAACTCTCTAACTGTTCTTTTTGTTCTGCCCCTCCTGTCCTCTCATAGGCTCCTGCCCTTGAGCTCACCATGATGGGCAGGCGTGACATGGGGATTCCGCCATAATGAGTTTATCTTGAAAGTGCTACAAGACTTCTAGTTTTTCTTGCCCTGTCATTGGGTTCCTGCAGATGGATATCATAGATTGTAGCAGCAGAATTGGAATAATATCAGTCCCTTCATTGTCTCTTTAAATGTTCTATGAACATTTTATTGGTGTCTTGACTGCCTGATATGTTTGAAAAAATCATGACCTTTAAAAAAATATCTCAACTTTTTCTTTCTAGTAGAGCAACCAGCTAATTCTTTATATTCATGGTCCAATATAACCAAGTCCATGATCCTTTGGGCCAGCCTCATACCAGCATTTTGGGACTTATGTTTGGGTAGAGCAAGAGTGAGCAGGGTCTGTGGCCCTAGAGGCATCTTTTCTAGTACATTTAAGAACTGCCACAGCCCTTCTGTTATAACCCTAGTTTTTGGGGAGAGGGGGACTTCAAGGTTTTTTAAAAACAGGTTGATTTTAAAAAAAAAAACAGGCAACACAATTGCTCTAGAGAGAGATGGGGGCACTTTTGAGAGAAACAGGAGGGGTTCTGGGAGCGGATCCAGGCCTGTATGATTTCCACCTCAGAGATTAACAAACATGAGCAGTCATTCATTTCAAACACTATGCCAAGATTTTTTTTTCACTCAATAATGTAGTAGGCAGTTAACGAGATCAAGAAAAACCAGCACAAACACAGTGTGATCTGGAGAATAAATAAAACATACTCTTCACACTCCCCATGATACTAGGAATGACATATCAAAAGCAATTTGTGTTGGCCTACAAGTATTAGGATTGTTCCTAAGCTTATGAACTGAAATAGATCCATGAGACAGCAGTCTCAGAAATCTTATTAACTGAAGAAAAGTACCGTATATGATAATTCTTTGAAGAAAAGTTTATGATGAAAAAGGATACCCACAGTAAATATTAACAGTCTTCTATAGCTAGGATAGGAAAATATTGTTAAAGGGTATTTAAGAAAAAACTATAAAAGGCTATTTGGACAAATTCTTGATTCAAAATTACATTGCCAGGGTAGTGTGTGTGTGTTTAATCTTTTTATTCTAAGTACATTACTTGGCAGTAAGCACTGACCAGAAGTCTAAGCTTCAGTTCTTAGAAGCAGCTAGAATATAAACTGGCATACTTTGATTTGAAGTATTACGTTTGTAACATCTTTGTATTTCTCATTTGAAAAATAAAATAAATTTTCTTTCATTGTAGGTATGGGATGGAACAAAATGTCCTTTCCCATCCTGGAAGGTGCTTGTTAGGGACGATGATCTTGAAGGAGACAGAATTCTGATTAATCAGCTAAAAAATCTGACCGTGGACATTGTCATCTACGATAATCATGTACAGTTGGCAAAATCCCTAAAGGTAATGGAACTCCCTAGCAATTCTATTTTGGCTTTTGGCTAGGTATCATATTTGTAATCTGATAGAAAGCTAGCAGCCCATACAGTATTTGCATTTATTTGAATTGTGCACTTTCCTATGATTATTCTGTTTAAAACTATCCATAAGTGAGCCTCCCGGGGAAACAAAATGAAAAGGACTAATTGCTTTAAATTACTGTAAAGTAAGCAGCAAATATGATGGTGTCATTCAGTTGTGAACATATGCAAAATAGATTATGTAATTTGTGTCTTTAAATTCTTGCCTGCAAATGAGCAAAAATGGAGTTTAATTTGTGGTCCTTGTTACAAACAGTCTTGGTATGTTTGGCAAAAAGGGTATTGCCTGTGTAACCTCTTACTAACTTCTACTTCACTGTTTGGTTTTGATGAAACGTTTGGTTTTGATGAAATAGCACCATATTGGTTTTAGGTAAGAAATTCCATAATGCACAAAATTGGTCAACTAGCTCCTAAATGAGTGTGCTTCTAGAATTTTAAAACTGAAAGTTCTCTATAAAAACACAGTTTATAGATACGTACCAGCAGGTTGAAGGAGGTACAGGTACTGATCTTTCAGTCTCACTAATACAGAATGAAGAAAAAAAACGGTCCTCACCAGGTTTATATTTTGCCAGGACAGTGGTGCCTCGCTTAACGAGGATAATCTGTTTGAGTGAAATCACTGTAGAGCGAGATCCTCGTTAAGCGAAATAAAAATCCCATTGAAACGCACTGAAAACCCGTTCAATGTGTTCCAATGGGCTGAAAAACTCACTGTCCAGCGAAGATCCTTCATAGGGGCGGCCATATTCAGTGCTTGTACAGTGAGGAATCCGTCCAAAAACACAGCGGGGAGCCATTTTACATAGCGGGCGGCCATTTTGAAGCAGCCAGTCAGCTGTTTTTAAAGTGTCGTAATGTGAAGAATCGGTTCCTGTCATCAGTAACTCTTGTAAACATTTTTAGATTCTCAGTCTTGATGCCACGGGGTCAGTTCACAAAGCTAATATCACAATATGGCTTTCCCACACATCATCATCAGTAACTCTTGTAAACATTTTTAGATTCTCAGTCTTGATGCCACGGGGTCAATTCACCATAGCATTGTGTTAGATGAGAAATTGGCAGGCACCAGAGGTCTGAGGGTCATACACATATGGGAGAGATGGGGCAGGGATGCTAAGGGGGACAAGGGCCAGGACATGGCAGAATTGACTCCCATGCTCTCTAGAGAAGATAGAGGCTGTTTGAACAAAACAAAAAAACCCTCGCCACTTTTTAATGGAGGGTTGGGGGCTGCATTTGAGCTTCTGGGTACCACATGGGTTCCACAATCTGCATGTACCCCTCCTTTGCACTAAATGGTATGGATAATCAGATTTGTACTGAAGCCATCCACGTTTTGCTAATACTGTATCACAATATGGCTTTCACACACATCATCATCAGTAACTCTTGTAAACATTTTTAGATTCTCAGTCTTGATGCCACGGGGTCAATTCACCATAGCTAACCTCAAGCCAACAAAAACTGCTCAAATATACAGCCTTTTGGAACAAATCCACTGCTTTTGTCTGGAGGGTTCATCAGGAAGAGCTTGGGATACTGGCCATAACAGCCAGAGGATTCTGGGCACTATAGACCAAAAAAGTAATTTTTCCAAGCTCTATTTATATAAAACCCCTTAAAAATGCCTGAGCAGACCATGCATCTGACCTAACAATGAGGAAAGCCTGTAGACAGAAACTATACTGTCTAAAGGCTTTCCTCATTAAGAGGTCAGATGTGTGGTCTGTTTTGGAATTCTTTAGAAAATTCAGTTACACATTATATGGGCCATGTAAGAGCTGTCTTAAGAATTCTTTCTTAACTCCTAACCAAGACAGAGAATATTAGAAGAGATGGAAGTGATGTACTACACGGTGAAAGAGATTTCACTAGATGTCTTTCCCTATCTGCCACATCTTCCTTCAGTTCTGTGTTTAGCCATTCATTCCCCTAGGAGCTGGGAAGCAGAATTTTTCTGTATGAAATAAATCTAATTGATAGTCCCAACTTGCATATCTTGTTTAGGATTGACAACTGAATTTAACCCTCTGCATGTAAATTCTGTATATTTTTCCACCCCTTTGATTATTCAGATGGGATATGGTTTTCACATGATAGGGTCATATTTTTAGCTACATTTTCTCATTTCTTTTGTAATTCATCACCTTCTATAGTTAGTTAATGATATATTTTAATAAATTCCTGGACTGTACAATTTACATTCTGTTGTTTTTCCTTGAATGTTGAGCTGGGTTGCTAGGTTGATTTTGGCCATTAGGTATTTAGACACATGTAAGCAGTATTTTTCACATCAACCACCTGCTTTTGAAGTTTTTTCAGGATTATGTTGCCATGTAAATTGTTAATCAAATGGTAGGTTGCTCTTTTCAACAGCATAATGTTCCCTCTTTCAGTAACAGCTGGAGTTTGGGAATGGTGGTCTAATGTGCAATTTTTCTTTGCATTATCTATATGTAAAGTCAGTAGTAAAGTCTACATGAAAAACTAAATGTTTAATGTTACTGCTAAAATTATATATAATTGAAAATATGGCAGTGAGTTTGAAAGCATATGATAGGAAGAAAATATAGAAAAACCTAGTGGTAGTAGTACATTATGTTTCCTTTTTAAAATAACAGCACAGTATGAAATTATATTGCAGTCCTGCTGTCAAGAGCAATGTGTTTAAAATACTGCGCTGTTTCCTTTGAATATTTTCTCTTGAATGTAATGCAGACTTTAATTTCACTGAATTACATTCTACTTGAATAGTAAATTATGGTGCTGCCTGTTATTTGCTATTGATAAAGATAAGCTTTATAGTCTGCTGTGTTCTGTTGATGATTGCACCTCTCATTGTACTGTATGTTTTTCAGCTCAGTGTTGAGTTCCAAATAATGCAGGCATAATGGCCCCTAAATATATTGTTTCAGCAAAATATTTTTTATTGTATTTCTGGTTGACTCCTCCTCATGTGCTTAGTTTGTATATTCAATCCAAAGTTTGTCCAGACTAGAATAGTTGCATTTAAATGGGCCAGGCTCATGTTAGTATTGGCTAATAAGTTCCATTCACTTCAGTGGATCAGCTGTAGTTGGGACTACCATTGTATTTAGCTTTCTGATATATATGACAGATATGCAGATATGTACTTTTAAACTACAACTCCTGGAATTCCCCAGCAAGCATGGCCAGTGCAATACTGCCTAGGAAAATCTTAGAACCATAGTCTTAAAACACGTCAGCACACCCTTAGTATAACCTTTTCCTTGTGCAGGCAGAAACTAAGACATAGGTAGTGACATCTTTTCTGATGCCACCTGGAATAACTGCTTCCACATTAAACACCTGGGACAAAGAAGCTCTTTCGCCTATCTTCTTATGTGTGTTTTTTTTAAAAAACTCATAATATGGAAAAGTGTATGATAGAAGACCATATAGGGCCACTAAGGATTTTTTAGGGGGCTTGACAAGATCTGTGCCTCTGTGAAGGTCAAGATGATTTACTTCTTGCTGTTGTTGCTTAGTCGTTTAGTTGTGTCCGACTCTTCGTGACCCCATGGACCAGAGCACGCTAGGCCCTCCTGTCTTCCACTTCCTCCCGGAGTTGGATCAAATACATGTTGGTAGCTTCGATGACACTGTCCAACCATCTCGTCCTCTGTTGTCCCCTTCTCCTCTTGCCTTCTCATTTTCCCAAAATCAGGGTCTTTTCCAGGGAGTCTTCTCATGAGATGGCCAAAGTATTGCAGTCTCAGCTTCAGGATCTGTCCTTCCAGTGAGCATTCAGGGTTGATTTCCTCCAGAATGGATAGGTTTGATCTCCTTGCAGTCCAGCGGACTCTCAAGAATCTCCTCCAACACCACAATTGAAAAGCATCAATTCTTCGGCAGTCAGCCTTCTTTATGGTCCAGCTCTCACTTCCATACATTGCTGCTGGAAAAACCATAGCTTTGACTATGCGGACCTTTGTCGGCAAGGTGATGTCTCTGGTTTTTAAGATGTTGTCTAGGTTTTCATCGCTTTCCTCCCAAGAAGCAGGGATCTTTTAATTTCGTGGCTGCTGTCTCCATCTGCAGTGATCATGGAGCCCAAGAAAGTAAAATCTGTCACTGCCTCCATATCTTCCCCTTCTGTTTGCCAGGAGGTGATCGGACCAGTGGCCATGATCTTAGGGGGGGTTTTTTATGTTGAGCTTCAGACCATTTTTTGCACTCTCCTCTTTCACCCTCATTACTAGGTTCTTTAAATCCTCCTCACTTTCTGCCATCAGAGTGCTATCATCTGCATATCGGAGGTTGTTGATATTTCTTCCAGCAATCTTAATTCCGGCTTGGGATTCATCCAGTCCAGCCTTTTGCCTGATGTATTCTGCATATAAGCTGAATAAGCTGGGGGACAATATTCAGCCTTGTCGTACTCCTTTCCCAATTTTGAACCAATCAGTTGTTCCATATCCAGTTCTAACTGTTGCTTCCTGTCCCAAATATAGATTTCTCAGGAGATAGATAAGGTGGTCAGACACTCCCGTTTCTTTAAGAACTTGCTATAGTTTGCTGTGGTCCACACAGTCAAAGGTGTTTGCATAGTCAATGAAGCAGAAGTAGATGTTTTTCTCGAACTCTCTGGCTTTCTCCATAATCCAGAGCATGTTAGCAACATGCATGTTAGCAACTTCTTGCTACAATAGTGTTAAAAGGACTTGAGCTATGTGGGCATAATGGCAAGTGTTAATGATAATATATGAGCCAGTGGCTAGAATTCTGTTGTTCGACAGTCTTGAGGCTTGTACATGAAAGTATCCAGCACCTCCTTACACAAGCAAACCCCATTTGTTCCAGTGGAATGATCTCCACTTCCAGAGTCATTTCAGAAGGATTCTCGGTCATTTTACAAGCCAGACATACATCTGTAGCAGTGTGAAGTAGTGTTGTCCCTGTTATATTCCTTTCCCCATGGTTGGTATTTTGCTTCTCAGTACAAGAATCCCACAATATGTTGCACGGTGTACATGCTGCATCGGTCTCTGCAGCTGAGGCAAATCAAAACAACAACAAATTAAGTAGCTGAAGACACCTGTTGTTCCACATTCTCCAGGTTTATGCAAAGTATCCAGTATTCCATTTATTCCAGTGGGATAATCTCCAGTTCTGCGGCTAAACAGCTTGGGTCTTACCTCATAAACACTTTTTCTTTCATTATTTGAAATTTTAAAAGTGCAAGGAATCTGTCTCCTAATCCATGGAGCATGCAGCTTGTTTGACTGTTTGATTTGGTCTAAGAAGAGGTTGGAGGAAGCCATTTTATGTAGGTAGACTTTAGCTGCAACCTTTTCTGTGGTATTTCTGCACTAGTGCAAGGCGGCATCAACAGTAGGGGCAGTTCATTCTTGAAGCCGGGCCTTAAATCAACCCAAAATTTTAGGATGAGGTTTTCCCCTCCTTGTGCTAACCAAGGTCTATGATAAGCAGTGAATTGCATTGCAGGGATCTTGCTCTCTCACTCTCTTCTCAGCACGATAACTTGCATTTGATTATAACAGTAAACTACACTGCATGATTGTAGCACACAGCTCTGTCCTCTCTCCAGTATGAGGATAGACTGGAGGGACTATATTCCAGGCTCTTATGCTACCTCTACTTCAGTCCAACCTACAGTGGGAGCCCAATAATCTGTAACTAATGAGCAGTATTTAATTGCAAGAGTATCATCCTTCCTCTAAACACAGCCCCTTCCAACCTGCTGTCTGGAAAACATATTTTGCAGTTCTCATCAGCAGATTTTTGATTTTAAACACAAACACACACACACACACACACAAAAGTTGGAGCAGGAACTCTAAATTTTTTTAACTGTCTTTTAGTTTGGGGTTTTTGTTTTTGGCAAGATGGGTGAGCAGCCCTAATCCTTGTCCATTTGGGCATGCCATAATGATAGGATTGCCCTTTAAAATGTGTTACTAGTTCTCTATATTGCCTCTATTTATTGGAACTGGTAAATCTTACAGAATCCTGAGAGGAATGAACCTCAAAACAGGCTAGCTAGGCCTCAGGATGTTTACTGGCCACTAAGTATGGGCTGGCTGGGCTGGGTTTAGAGAAGCAAGCAAGAGGAGAATACAGAAGATAGTCTCTTGACTGAAGGCACGACTGATGGAAACAGTGAACGGGGAAGCCCTCCACACTACCATTTTTTTTGCGTATCTGTTTATTAGCAGCAGCTTGTTCTTCTGCCTAGATTTGTACAGCTGCTGTATCTGTAGTTGCCTGCAACTGGTTATTTTCTTCCTTTTTTCTAATTCTTCGGCCCAAATGAAACTTTTATGGATTTTAGAACATCAAAGGTCGTTAGATTTTTGTGTCATTTCATGATTTAGCGTTTACTTTTCACAAGATAGAAAGGTAATCAAGTACAAATGCTGCCCTCCAATGGAAAATACTGAGATTGCAGTTTGTTATGTGGCTGCAGTCAATGCTAGCCTTTTTTGTAAAATGGGAAGATGATAGTGCTAAGATTACATAATGCAATTTACTATTTCTTTAAATTTAATTTGGTGATTTCGTACCATTATGATTTACATGAATCATATGCATTTTCCTTTGTAATGCAAAGAAATCCAGAGAGGAGAATAATTTAACTGTTAAAGTACCTTGGAGACTGGTTTGGATGCAATAGAAAATCGTAGAATCATGGAGTTGGAAGGGACCTATAAGGCCATCGAGCCCAACTTCCTGCTCATTGTGGGGATCGAAATCAAAGCAGATCTAACAGCTGGTTGTCCAGTTGTTTAAAGATATCATATTCAAAGTCTTTAACAATGTGAATGATGCCTAATCTCTGGCAGAAGAACAGCCAGAAGAATTATAATCTCACTGTGTCATTTGTATTTACTTATTCAATTTCATATTTGTTTACATTTTATTTCACCTATATTTATTCAGGGCACCCTTCTCCTGTCTTTTTTTTTTGTCCAGTTTCCTCAACCAGTTCTGTGAGATGAAGCAACGGTACTATAGTTGGCTGTTGTGGGTTTTTCGGACTCTTTGGCCGTATTCTGGACATGCTGCTGCTAGTAAACCTTCAGAACACGGGCAAAGACCCTGAAAAACCCACAACAACCATTAGATCCTGGCCATGAAAGCCTTCTCAAAGTACTATAGTTCCTTAAGATACATTATTTCAACAATAAATACCACTTGATTAAAAACTATTTGGCATCCCCCAGCAAAGACTGGTTGAACAGCCCAGTAAACTTATCTTTTCAAAGCAGGCATAATTGTACAAGATTATGTTTAATTTAACCATACCTCTTTTGTTTGATCCTTTCTTATGTTGGATTAAGGCATTTTCCAGATGTTAGTATTTTGAAATTATCCTTAAAATACAGGAGACCTAGTTTTTGTATGGTATGTGTAGATGTCTATAGTGTAGCATCTGTGGTGCATTAACACCATCTAATGGCTGTTTGAAGGAGCAGAAGTAGGTTTTAAAGAGCTTCTTGATAACTTCTTGATCTGTTGCTCATGGGGAGTAAGTTTTTAGTGCCTGTCACATCAAATGTTGTATAATAAAGCATCCGATCTTCTTTAGAATAATTTGATGCAAAAAAACTTCCAAAGGATATCAAATAGCATTTGTACTCTCCGCCAGTGACAGAAGGAAGGCATATAATAATACCTTTTAAGGAGAATTTTGTGTTAAAATAAAATGATTTTTTTTAGAAGTGACAGTTATTACATTAGCTTTATGCAGTCCCAAGGGCTTAAGATAGTAATGTTGGAAATTCTGTTGGTAATACTTTCTTTTACTAATTTTTCTTGCTCTTTACAAATAAACAGGGTTTATGTGCCAACAGTGATACGAATACATTATATACCAGCATACTTAAGGCAGGACCGCTTGTGAAGGAAAGTGGAGAGACTGCTTGATGCCTGTAATTCAAGTCTTTTATTTCTGAAGTATGATTTGGACACACTCTGACATCTTAACTTCCCATTTACTTTTAATGGATACAAAATTTTGTATAGCTTTGCCTTCTACAACGTTGTGGTTTTTCTTTTCTTTTTTTTAAGGTTGGAAGCTTTATTAGGATGTACAGTCTGCATGCGAAAATGAAAAGCCCCGAAGGCAAGCCTGACATTACATATATTCAGTTTCATCTCCATGGGGGCACCATGTATGGCCGTGGGATCACCATTCTGCCAGAAACACAAACAGATGCAATGCAACTAAAGGCGTGAGTAGATAACATTGAGAATAGCAGTGACCTGGAGAATGAGTTTGGATTGAAAGCACCATTTGGTTCATGGTGCCATGTCTGTCTAGCTTTTCCTCCTCAGTTTTTGGGCTGGGAACAGTTTAACACCCATCACTTTGTCATCTTAGCTCAACCCCCAAATTCCCGAATTCCCAAGTTCATGTCCTCATGGGTCAGTCGGGAGGGGGACAGGGACGGTGGGGGGGTCTAGCTGGTGCAACATAGTGGCTAGTCTGTGAAGGTTGGTTTGTATTATCTCTGCCCTGTCTAAGGCAATTTGCTCTTTCATCTGGTATAAGACTTATCTACCTTACACCTCTAGCTTTACATGGGTGTAAAAATTAGAAGAAATGAATTTATTTAATATGCTTGTAACATAGGTTGTATATACCTGATAATAATATGCTAAGTAGTAATTGCATGTTCACCCCTGTATTCAAAAGAGTCATTGTTTAAGTAATTAAATATTGAATGGGAATTGCTATTGAGAGGTGCGATTACCAGCAAAAATATAAGTTTTCAAGGTGGTGGTGTCTTCAGGAGGATAGTATTTATAGTGTTTGTTTGTTATGCTTAATATTATGCACAGTGCATTGAAAACCGATTAATCCCGTAACAGGCCGTTTTTGTTCCATTTTGGTTTTTTTCTGGTCTGTAAGTCAAATCTCAGTCTGCAAGTCAAACCTAAATTTTGCGGCCAGAGAAGTCTGTAACTCAAAAAGTCTGTAAGTCAAGCCGTCTGTAAGTCAAGGGTCCACTGTAGTGTTTATAATGTTTGTTTGTTATGCTTAATATTATGCAATCTCCTAACAATCTACTCTCTCTCTCTCTCTCTCTCTCTCTCTCTCTCTCTCTCTCTCTCTCTCTCTCTGTGTGTGTGTGTGTGTGTGTGTGTGAGAGAGAGAGAGAGAGAAATAAAATTTGAAAACATTTTTTAAATAATAGCTAATTAAATAATTTCAGCCATCGGGGGGGCATTGAAAAGAATTACTAAGCCATTCTTTTATGAACCAAAAGGTTTTCAGCAGGCATTAGAAACGGAACACTGTTTCTCCCTCTGTAACCTCCCAGAAAAGAGCATTCTAAAGGGTTAGTATATGTTTCAGTTATGAAGCCCAAACAATACAAGACAGTGTCCTCCATAAGCATTTCAGCAGCTAGAACCCCAGCCAGCAGGAGTATCATCAAAAACTATAATGCGGAACCACTTTAGATATAAGCTATGAAGAATACTGGCTTTAGAAAAACATGTTTTTTTCAACATTAAGGCCAGTGTCCTCTTTGGTTTTACATCTTGTACACAGTCCATTGCTTGAGCAGTTTTACTTTCATGAAACTTCTGCACCAGGAAGCCTTTGCTAGCCACTTGTACAAATGGAACCATCTCTACCTTTAATTGGGGGCAATCTCGCTTGTGCCATAGCAACCTGAAGATCATGGGGGAGCTCCATAGGTAGAGCATTATACTCCAGCCCCTCCAAACAGGACAGTGACTTTTGTTTTCTCCTACATTTTCATTGCAAATGGTGCAATGAAAATGTAGGAGAAAGCAGAAAATCGCTTTCCCCCTCCATTTTCTTTGCAAAACGTGACGGGGGAGCTGCTTTTTGCAACAAAAATGGAGCAGGAATTGCTTTCCCCCTCCACTTTCTTGCAAAGAAAGAAATTTCAGGTTAGAAACTTGGGGGAGGGTCTTATACACAGAAAAATATGGCAACATGATTTTAGTCAGTGAGTCTGGAAACCATAAGCTTAGGAAAGTATTTGGCTGTAAACGGTGAAGGGGAGGGGTAAGGATTGCAACATGATCAAAGTCTGCCTTAATTGTACAGAGCCGTGTCTTCAGAACACATAGAGTGAAATGAGGTGCACAAACAAGTGGCTTTGGCCAGTGTTGATTGAAATTGTGTCTGTCTTTCGGATAAACCTGGAAAGCTGTTGACTGATATGTACCTTTTTTCATTTATTTATTTGTTTGTTTTGCTTTTAAAAGAAATTTGCAGATTTCTGGATTCTGTCGATTTGACAGCAAGTGAATACTCAGATGAATCATCTTCTCCAGAATTTGAAAGTATTTACACTGCATGTAAGCTTTTATTTTAATAGGCCTTTGTCTGTTTCACTTTGTAGGGATCATTCCTTCTTTCTTTCTTCCTTGTTTTGCTTAGCTACAAGTATTCAAGAGATCCCAGAAACATAACGTGTAAACAGTTGTTGACTGTTGTGTGGTTTCACCTCAGGTAACATTTGGATGAGAGCAACCGCATTGAGCAAGCAGGTTTTGCAGTTTTGTGCAGTATCACTTTCTCTGACACCTTCTTTGAAAGAGAATCCTAAAAATATATACAGATGATATGAGTCAAGCCAGATAGTTGCAAATTAAAATTAAAATTAAAGTTTATTTTATTTTTTATTTATTTATTATTTTTACTTCACTTTTTTCCTCAAGAGGACACAAGACAACTTACAGTATTAAAAGCAATAACATAAAAAGTAGAAGAGGGGAAAACAGGACCCCCCCCCCCATTAAGCTGCCAGTTACCAAGACAAAGCTTGCCTGAAGAGAAAGAGTTTTGTCTGCCTGGAGAGGGTCAACAAAGAAGGGGCCAGCCTGACTTCCCATGGGAGGGAATATCACAACTTGGGAGCAGTGAGAGAGAAGGCCTTTGAGTTGTTTAAGATGACTTTACATTTTAATGTTGGCTAAAATAGGTAATCATCATATGAATTATGGCAAGTCATATCTAAAATTAAACTGATCAAGACTGTATAGGCTAAGCATTTAGGTTGGACAAAATCCATGGATATAACTTATATATACTTATATATAACTCAGATATACTTATTGCAAATTCAGAACAATAAGCTAAGTCCCAGTTGCTAGTTTTATTTAAACTAGACCCACTGGAATTCATTTAAGTGTTGGTTTAACAAATTCCATTTATTGCATTTATACTCCAGCTGGGACTAACAACTGGATTTAGACAAATATATTTTTGTTTTTATTTTGAAATTTGCAATGTTGTTCGTTTTTTCACTTTCTGTTCATAAAGAAATGTAAGTGAAGAAAAATATATAATTCCTTTTTCTTTTCTTTTTTTTAAGTGGGAACCTGTTTGGAAAGATGCCAACAATTATCTGTTACAGGTAGGCACCTCAGATTCAGATTTCTGCGTTCTCTCAGGTCCATACAGTCAAGTCCTACTCACTTCCTTTCACTACAGTCTCTCCCACCCACCTGCCCAAGTGTCCATAAACCTCAAAGTCATTTCTGCAGATTGTGAAACCTCTGAAATGGTGGGTACGACATGAGGGACTGAGGTGGGACAGTACATCAGAAGACATGGACAGCACCTTTAAGGAGCAGATAAGCTTTTCTTTTTACTTAGTACCTAACCTATGTGCACTTGAGCAAATTAATTTTTGTCATTATTCTTGGCTCGAAAAAGTATCCAGAGACATTTGAAAAGAAATCTTTTGAGATAAAACACTTTATAAATCTGTATTTAAATTATTTTTGATGCAGATTAAAAAGCAGATTAATGCAGAAACAGTCTTGGAAGTGAGCATTCACAAAAGAGACATGGTCTGATATAAACTGATTTATGTCAATATTCCTGCCTGTCAGACCAGCAGTTTAGGAGTGCAGGTGCTTTTAATTAGTTTGTCCTCTCTCTGGGAAAGAACAAGACACATAAATATCAAATATATACCACGGAAAGCATTAAAGATGCATTCTGTGAGTACAGTGATGCCTCAACTTACAAAATTAATCTGTGTTGGAACGGTGGCCATGACTCGAGATTTTTGTAAGTCGAAACAACATTTCCCATAGGAATGCATTGAAAACCGATTAATCTATTCCAGCTGTTTTTGATTTTTATGTTGAGGCACTGTTCGTACGTCGAAATATTCATTCCCATAGGAACTAATGCAAAGCTTTATGTCGAGGCACTGTTCGTACGTCGAAACATTCATTCCCATAGGAACTAATGCAAAGCCGGTTAATCCATCCACTACCACTAGGGGAAGAATTTTTCTTCTTTTAACCTAAGATGACTTAGGCTTAAAAAAAGGGCAGGAAAGGAGGGAGGGAACATCTTTTAAACAGAACTCCTTTTAAACCAAGCCAAGCACCTTTTAGGTTAAAAAAGGGCAGGAAAGGAGGGAGAGAGGGAAGGAACAATGGGGAAAAGAGGAAAGAAAGAAAGAAAGTCATCACTGGGGCACACAGACCCCTCAGACAAAGGTTTGTGCTGTTAAGCAGAAAAAGAGAAGAGAGGGAGAGAGAGAGAAGTCAATAGGGGGAGAGAGTTTGGAGTTTAAAACACAAGAGAGAGAAGTCAATGGGAGGAGAGAGTTTGGAGTTTAAAACACATGCTAAACGAACACATTTTATGACACATTTTAAACCAAGCAACTTTTGAACAAAACACATTTTAAAATGAACCAAGAAATTTTTAAACCCACCTACCAACAACTCTTAAAACAAAAGAGAGGTCACTTAGCTTTCGATGTCTTCTGGAGGACATCATGGTGACTTCTGGCTGGAGGATGGTGAGATGGTCATCACTGTGAGGTAGAGGTCCCCTGCTCTGGGTCCTCTTCTCCAGGGGCTCCGTGTTGCTGTCTCTTGGCTACAAACTCCATCCAGGTGAAAAATCTGTCCAGTTTTGTCTGTTTCATCCTGTGCTGCAGAATCTTTCTGAAATGGCTGACCACATCAACTCTGCCTGTCACAGTCCTGTTTGGGTGGTGCCTCTCAAAGAAGTCCTGGTACTTGTTGCATTTCTTGCAAATGGATTTTATCTCCTTGTTGCTAACCTGCGGTTCCTCTTCCTCAGTGGAAAGCTCCTCCACAGGAGCCTTCTGTTGCTGGATTTGCAGTTCTGCAAGTTCTTCTGTGGCCAACTCCCCTCTGTGGTCTTCAACCAGCTCCTCTACATCTTCGTCATCGACATCCAGACCCATGTCTTCACCCATGGAGATGATGTCCCTCACCACCTGTGAATCAGTCACCTCAGTGTCACTATCCTGGCACATTGTGGCCACGGTTTCCTCCAGGCTGAGTTCAAGGTCCGAGTTGTGACATC